TGTGTGTGTGTGTTTGTGAGTGTGTCTCATGTGAATGAATCAACTTATCGTAACTATTGTCTAACGTAACCTGTTCAGCTGTTTTTACAAGCCATAAACCTGCTGTAGTGTAACTCTTATCGAAACATTCGAAGCAAATAAAAGCAGAATTCGAAGCTAAACGAATTTATCATTTGTTGGGTACAGTCAACGTCGACGGGTGCTAACCCTGCTCGATTATGGTATGTCCACTTTTGATGAAACAATTCTCGCATGGCTGCCATTAGACGGGGAAGATGCAAGCGAACTGAGCTCGTGGATGAATGAAACTCAGAGGTGGTGTGCTCTCATTGGATGATGCTCGTTGAACATCTCTTGATTCTAGCATTCCGAAATCATTTAATCACAATCTTTCTTATATCCTGCTACAATTGCATAGTTTGCACTAATAAGGATCTGCGTCTGGGACGAATTTCTAAATGAAACAGAGGCATCTCATTTTCCAGGAAGACCCGAAAAATTTCCGAAACCCACTCTCGTCTCTTTCGATTTTCCTCACTGACTCGATAAAATTCATTCCTAGACGCCGATCTTTATTTACTCTTCTCTGCAGTATTTGAATTGATTTGCATCTACTACCAATCGTAACTGGATGTTCTATGCATGCTTGTTTATCGTTTGATTTACCGTCCGGTGTCAGAAGGTCAGCATGAGGCATACGCTTGCATTTCTGCCTTCTAAAGCGCTCTTCTTCTCGCATTTGAGTGTCCGAGTCAGCATCTGCGTTGACCGCAATAACTGTTTGTTTGTTTGAAGACCTGTGACGTTAATGGATATGTCGAACGATGAGCGTGGCTCAATAATGGAGAAAATGAAAGATATAAACGGCAAAGGAGGACAAACCAAGAAATCAGGTCTTATGGCACGCTTCAGAGATCATCAGAAGAAGAAGTCAACGTATGTTGCGCTATTAACTTCTGTGTAGTGAACGAGCGATCTATCGAGAATCTCTCGGCTGTTTTATCAGCTATTTTATTCGCTTTGCATTCCTCATGTTCAGCTGGAAATTTTTGAATTGATTCCCGATTTTCGA